ACGAACGCAATAATTTTGAAATCAACACTGCTCCAATAATATTCTAATTTGATCCAACAATCCAATAATATTCTTAAGTGAATGATCCAATAATATTCTAATTTCTCTCCAAGTTTGACGAATGCCAAAACTGTTTCAAGACAAACATCGGATTCGAGTGTCACAAAGTCTGATAGTAATTTTTCAGAAACTATATGTCACAAACTATGTTTTTTTTTGTTAGTTGGATATCGAGTGGTTGTCTTGTCAATCGCTTTGAATATTTATTGTTTTTGAGCTTTGATTACTTATTGGACTGGTATTTGGCTACGTTTAATTATACAAAGTATTCACGGCAACTGATTAATTACTCGGTTCTGTTCGCTTGGCCTGCTCGCCTAGCCAGCGGGGTGGCATCAATCAAGGCTAAAACAGTGCGAACGGAAACGCGAGCATTCTGGTCAGCAACGTTACAAACGTTTGATAGCCTGATTGCCAATCCAGCTTTAGCTTTAGCTTATGTGTCACAAAGTTTGATGATAATTTCAGAAACGAATAGCGTTGTCGGCTCAATAGAAATGATCTAAGAAAGTGAAGAAATGGTTAAAAGGCGATATTCCTTCCGTGTACTTCCATGAACAGCTTTAGCTTTAGTGACTGGCGATTGAATGAACTTATAAATGAGATAACAAATAATCTCACGTTTCATTGACCACATCCTCAGTCTCGTTCTCATTTTCATTGCTTTGCTCCACTTCCATCTCCTCGTCACCATCCTCCTCATCGTTTTCACCGTCCAATTCTACGGCGTTCAATTCGCACGCTGAAGGGTTTGTCCACGTGATATTCTGTCGATTTCTACTCATAAAATCAACACTCTCATATTCTTGTCTGCAAAACAGAACCATTAACTCGAATGGAGAATCGCTAGTGTCGGAAACTGAATTTGGAAATTCGGCATACTGAAATTGAAAAATTAAAAGTTGAAAATTCAATTCCGAAGTCCACTCTAAACTCCAAATTGCAAATTATTAACTCCATATATTCATCTCCATTTTACGTGCATAAATTATGTAACATTGGATGCTAAATTGCAAATTACTAGGGAAAAATCCGATTCAAAACCGAAATATATTCCAAAATGACGATGATAACATTGGCAAATAATCAGCACTCAGGTGATAATTAATGTCATTTGCATGACGGAGACTGATCGTAGGATAATATCTGTGAAAATAAGCAAAAGTCAACGAATCAAACGCTAACGTATAGAGGGCCAGCAACCATGGACTCAAAGTTTTCGTTGTTTTCTCGGCAATTTCGTCGAGTTTCGACAACAAATTGAACATCTGCAGTCGAAACATTCCATAATCTGGTGAACGTGACGACGACACATCACAGAGCTGATCAAAAATGCGCGCAGTGGAATCCGTTCGCATGCAGCGTTCATCCTCAACCGCACTACTCACTAAAATATTCCCAGTGAATGATAAAAGAATACGCAAACAAATTTTGCACAAAAAAAGGCCACACTTCACACCGTTCAACAACTCCAACAAACGCCCTTAATAAACAAATAAGATTCACAGATACTCTCAAACCACTCGGATAGACCACAGCGACCAAGTGCCTGTTCTAATTTGAGTGCCACTGATAGAAAATAAAATAACGAAATGAAACGAAACAAATTCCACGAATGAATAAGAAAATGAAAAATTTTAGGCACAATTGTCATTTCCTTTTCAAAAATACATTTCTCAACAACATTTTAAAAGACAACAGTTTAATTAATACATTTTCTAAAACAAAAAAAAAAAACAAATATCTAATCAACCGAAATACCTAAATGTTTTGTT